TTCATACTTAATCATGGATCTCATACACATGTGGATTATCTTATTCCATTTTACCACTCTTTTGTTAACCCAAATGGTACTCCACACGCTTAATTTGAACTCAAACCATTCTTTTGAGACCAAACATTTGATTTGCATGAGTGAAACCTTCTTTTGATAGCTTTTCATGTGTAAAATCTTGAGAGTATTGGAGGCGACATAGGATTATTCTCATCTCTTGCTAGCATAGGAACCTCTTTTGAGCTAGCATATAGGATGGTGAGTGGGTTTATATGTTCTAAAAGTTAACATCTTAGGTTTTGGATGAGAAATTATGAGAAAGTTTAGCTAAAGTGTACCTTGAGAAAAGAAAGAAAGCCACTAAGGACCAAAACAAATGAAGAGAATCTCTATATTGTACCTAAAAGAAAGCCTTACCAAAAAAAAAAAAGAGAGAGAAAAAGAAGAAAAGTTTAGAGCTACGAAGTAGAAAGTGTGTGAAGAATCCCCAGTTGGTGGTGTAAATCAATAAAAAGAAAAAAAAAAGAGAGAAAGAAACTTGTTCATTGGGTGAGTGATGTGAGTAAAGGTTATTTGGGATCATAAGATGAAGAAAAATGGTTAGAACTTGTGATCACTTAGGAAAATGGTAGAATGATGAGAATAAGACTATGTATGCATGAGTTGCCTCTAGTCTTAGATAAATTTTGCATAATGATCTTGCTCCTTGTTCTTGAGTGATAGCCACTAAAAAAAATGATGCATTTGAGTCCTCCTTTTCATTCTCATTAGACCATTCGCTTGCCTAGCCAAATGATTGAGATCATGTGCCCATTTGTGATAATTCACTTTGTGTGTGTGTGTGTGTGTGAACTAATGTGAGAGTTGGTTTAAAGACTTGTAAATTGAAGAGTTTTGCACCTTGTTTAAAGACATAAGAGTGTGTTGATAGGCCTAGAGAAACTAGAGTATAATAAAAGAGTGTGCTCATGCTAGTTGCTATGTCTCTTTAGGATGTTAAGTTTAGTTTTTAGATGTGTCTCTTTTGGTTATGGGCTCCCACCTACAAGCCTCCCTACCCATAAGCTCTAGAAATTTTACTTGAGGGTAAGTTAAGAACAAGTTTGGGGGAGTTGATGTCTTGCATATTTCCACTGTTTTATCCATTCATCCATATGAATTTTGATCATATAGACTAGGATTTAGTCATTTCTAGGTTGCATTTTGCATATTTGAGTTCCTTTCAGGTAATGGAATATACTTGGAGTTCTCAGAGGTGATTGTGTGAATTTGAGGTCCAAAAAATGAGTTTGAGGTGAGTATTGCTCGAGCAGAGGCCAGAGCGAGGTTCTAGAGCGAGCCCCTGAGGTTGCTCTACAGCAGAGCGACACCCGAAGGTCGCTCCACAAAGTCGCTCCAGCCCCTCAGCGAGAAGCAGTCAGAGCGACCGGTCAAGGTCGCTCCTGACCGGGAGCGACGTGTGGAGCGACACACATGAGTCGTTCGCCTTTTAATCATGACGAGAAGCCGAAGATGGTCTTGGAACGAGGTCCGGGAGCGACCTGGCCAAGTCGCTCCACCCCTAGAGCGACCTCCCAGAGCGACAAGGCCATGTCGCTGCGCGTTTATCTGTGACGAAAAATTGTGTTATTTTAAGGACCTTTTGGTCATTTGTTTTTATTTTTACACTTCCAAAACCTAAGTTTAAGTATCTTTTTGTAGCCTACCAGGCAGAGGATCTTTGATCTAAAGACAAAACACAAAACCTCTTGGAAAAGTTGATTTCTATGAATCATTCTTCATTGTTCTTGTGATCTTGTTTTATTTCATTGCATTATCTACTCATCTTTAAATTATTAAGCTTGAATCCAATATGGGTTTAAGAGGAATCATGAAGATTAGTGAGTAATCCACTTTTGAATTCATGGGATAGGGAGATTAAGGATGATTAGGCTAGAACTAGGATGTTTAGTGTAGATTTCTCTTATTCCTTGCTAGTAGAGTATATTTAATGCACATTTTGAGTTGACCTCTCAAAGGTTGAGCTTTCGGCATTTCCCACCTCACAAGGTGTTTGATGAAATGCCTGAGCCAACCCTCCTAAGCTTTTAACATACCTTACCAAAGACATTTGTTGTTAAAGATGTTATGATGGCTAATAGACTTGTTCTTAAAGATTACTTTTATAACATTTAACCGAAGACATTTGATGTTTGAGTTAATAGTTTAATTGATCATTTGCCATCCTTAGTTCAAAGTTTAATCACCCAAGATCTAATCCCTACTCTCATGAGTTCTCCTTTTTCTTAATCAAAGAAGTCATTTTAGTTATTACTTTTCTTATTCTTAGTTATAGTTCAAAACCACCATTTATTCGATTGCATTTAGATTAAGTGAGTACTTGTATTCTCAGTGCTTTAAAATCTCTTAGAATTGGTTCGACAATCTCTTATACTACAACATTTGTCTTATGAGCCTTGAAAATTCTTAACTTCAATTCTCTTCCACTGAAAATTCGCAAACGAGTTATGGAAACTTGGACCTTGGCAAAATACAATAGACACAGATGGAAACTCTACTTTTGTTAAGATGATATAAGATGCAAGCTCTTCGAAAAACCTTCCCCCCCCCCTCTTTCAGTTTACTAGGAAATGCTTTTCCCTGGTTATACTGGATGATTTAGACGTCTTGAAACTTCTCAATTTTTAAAATACTCGAACTGAATTGGTTGGTATGATAATTTTTGGTACAACTATCTAGACCTTTGAATAAATTAATTTTTGAATATTTTAAATTTCTATACATCAAAATCAAATTCATTAAGATTTCATATTTTGGTAAAACAATAAATGAAATAAATAGAATAAATGAAGTTATTACACAATAATTGAAGTGCAATGAAAATCTGTATAAATCACTTAAAATAATAAATATTGTTTTGTGAATTTTTTTAATATAATAGATGAAATATCCAGTTGCCCCAAAAAAATAAAGGGAGACACATAATTTTGACCAATTTTATTTGATGTGGATTATGATGAAATCTATTTTTAAAGCATGTGATGCGATTATCGGAAAGTTCCCGTCTCCGGCCCAAATCGAAACTAAATGGGCCTCATGGTTATCCCCTATATATTAAAAAGAAAATCATTTAAAAAATTTATCTTAAATTTGTAATAATTAAAAATAACCCCAATAATATGTGGCATATCTCTTTATTTTCTATTTCAATTTAGAAGGATTATAGAGCATGTAATATAATGTATAATCTAAAAATTATACTCTCTAACAATATAATATTTCGTAGACTATAGTTGGTCGCATATATCAAATATTTATTGTTTCACTTGCTTTCCTTAAATAAAACCTACGGAATTACCTAATGTGATTAAAAAATATATATATGACAATTAATGATTTCAAAAAATAAAGATTTGATAACAATTTGTATACTTTTATCATTTTGTTTATTTATTTATTATTAAAATTAATTACACAATTACATTAATCATATAATAAAAATCAAATTTTTTTGTGTATGTTGTATTTCGAATTTTTCAAAATGAGTATAAATTACTGAAACTGTTAAAATTCTCACATAAACTTTTAGGATCATGGTTTTAATTTTTTATATATTAAAATATAATGATGATAAGATCATATGAAAAAAATAATTTTAGTTTATATATATTTCATATCGTTTTAATTAAACTATACATCGTATGAAAATACATACTTATATTTTGATATTTGCATTGAAAATATATTGAAAATTTAATATTTTAATTTTGAAATATGTCATTATTTTTTAAAAATAATTATAAATTATTGAAATTACTAAACATCGCACATTAAAAAGAATTCGTTGGTGTAAAGTTTTGTTACAAATATGCAATTAATCATAAAATCATATGAGTAGAAACCTTATTTAATAAATATACATATTAAAAGTGTGCTATATTACCATGTTTATATCATTTAAATTTTATTATATATCATATTATATCACAACAAGAGAAAAAATTGAAGATAAATAGGATTGACACGTGAATGTAAACTTCTCATAACCATTATGGTTATGTTAAATCATGAGGATTTAACTTAATTTTGTATAAAATTATTTTTAAAAAATAATATAATTTGTAAGAAATATAATTTTCTAATATTATTAGACAAATAAATAAACTATATTAAATTAGTTTTGAAATTTATATATTTTAAATGCAAATATTTTACCAACTGCTTTATAAAAAAACATTAGAGAACTTGCTAATACTTTACCAATCAAGCCGTGACACTCTGTTTATTTTCTATCACTCGAACACTGAAAAGTGAAAAGATATATGAAATCAGGTCCATTAAATTCTAAGCTTTGATCTACAGTTCTAATTATAATAGTTTCTTATTTTACGTATAGATAATTATATAAAAATTCTAAATTTCTAAAATTTCAAATACATATAAAAAATCATATATAAATTTTAAATTTATCAATAATAACATTTTATATTTTAATTACATAAATTCACCATGCGCCTTGCACAGATCTTATCCTAGTTTTTCAAGTAAAACATCTCTCAACTCTCTGGTCCATTCACAGATATTCTCTGACGTAACACAAACACGTACTTGTTGATTCCAGCTCACTTTAGATACAGCAGCAAAATCTTTAATCCGTAATCGTTATCAAGTTTTCTACAAATTAATCCAATAATGATGTATAAAAAGAATGTTGCGTTAATTTAATTTAATTAACTCTTTAACTTATGTATATGTGAAAGCACTCGAGTTTATTTTCTTGTACCAAATTTGAAATTTGTAAGTCATGTTCATGTAACAAGAAAATGCGTAAAATGCTACAGTAAAGCTAAGCCACGTATTGCAACTCTTCTTGCCGTAATTATAGTCATATTCATCGGTGATTAGTTAAGTTTGACATAATAAAAATAAATATACTAAAAATAACACAAGTTCCACACATATAAATACCTCACCAAAACCATCTATCTTCCTCAGACCTGCGAGAACTTCAAAACACACACAAAAAAAAAACTAAGTAAAAAGAAGAAAAAGCCTTTCAGGTCTCAACAATGGAGATGAAGAAGATCGCTTGCGGTGTGCTTTTCGCTGCTGCCTCCATGACCGCCGTCATGGCTATTGAGGAAGCCGGAGCTCCGGCACCAGGACCCTCATCCGCCGCCTCGGTTGCATTGCCGGCTCTTGGCTCTTTGGTTGGGGCTTCCCTTGTGTCCTTATTCAGCTACTACTTGCACTAAGCTATGTCTTCATTATGTAATAATACTATTTATGTGATCTTTTTCATTTCCCACCTATTTACATTTCACTTGTTTATTAATAAAACTGAGAAAATAATTCAAGAATAAATTTTCTCTTTTTCAGTTTTTTTTTTTCAATTTTGGATTTGTGGTTGGTGCAATTGATATCACTTTGTTTTGAATCTAATTTTCCTCCTGGTAGGAGGATTGACGTTACGTTTAATATGTTCTTTGCTGAATTTGTTTACATAGTATTTTTTTGTAAACTGAAGAATGTTAGCTCCAATCTTGTACCTGCAAAAAAACACTGCACAATGATCTAAAGAAGGGTACCTATCTCTGGACTCGCTACATTTGAAAACCTTCCTCTGTTTCTGGTTCTTGATCTTAACTTAAAAGTTTAAATGTATGCAGTTGAACCAATGACTGCATTTAACATCTCAGACCTCAGAAGCTCTTTCATCTACTAATCTGCCACAACTGGACTTGTCCTGTTTCTGCGTCTATCTCCTTTCATCCCTTTGTTTCAACATCAAGATTTTCTGAAAGCGAGAACTGCCTGCTTTCAGAATCAAAAGATAGATTTATTTACACTCAAAAGTCTTTCTTAACCAAAATACAGTTTTACTGAAAAAGCATACACTATAAAAGGTAAGAAATCCAGCAATAAACAACATACAATACACAACCCCATGATGAGCATAATCTTAAATCTTAAGTCTGACCATCCTCGAGTAATGCTTGTTCTATGAGCTTGATCTCTTTTGCCACCAAGATCATCTTTGGCCTGTCTTCATTCTTCTCCTCGCAGCATCTCAGTGCCAGTTCGAGAAACATTTTCATCTGACCAGGCTTCATGTCGTTGGAATCACCCCCGAACTCAACAGCTTCACCTCTCTCCTGCACATACTTCACATAATCAAAAAGGAACATTTTAGGACTCAGCGGGGAATTTAGTCCAGCCAAATATGCTGGTTTTCCCATGAGAAGAACCAACATAATAAGGATTCCAAAACTGTACACATCGGAATATTCTGTCACTATTCCCGTCAAGCCATAAATAGGATCTATGTATCCCATAGTTCCAAACAAACGCGGTTCTTCAATCCACGGTTTACCCTCAGGGAGTGTTACTGCCTCTGATAAATCACTCAGCTTAGCAGTCCCATTCTTATCCAACAAAACGTTATCTGACTTTATATCTCTGTGTACAATGAGTGAAAGCCGTGTGTAGATAAGTTATAGCAGTCGCAACCTCTCTCGCAATCTTTAAACGTACGTTCCACGGCAACAACGGCGCGGCCCTGCGACCAACACTTCCTCGATCGTTCAAAAATCTATAGTTATTACTCACTTGAGCAGACAAGACAATGTCGTTGTAAGGCTCCGTTCCAACCAATTGCCTTGATTTCTTGATCGAGTAAGATCTGCCTTCGATGCTGCCCTTGTACCAGGTGAGTAATGGTATTCTATTATCAGAGATACAGCTCTTGGGATCGAAGTTATTCGTGGCCTTTTTGATTTGATGGAAAGAGAATATTCTTATAGGATTGGATATGCCGTTACAGTCTGCTATGTGTTGCTCAAGAAACAGGCTCCCATTTCTGAGGAACCAATTTCTCGCCTTCTCCTTTTCCTTCTTCCTTCTCCAGAATTCCATCCCCGAATGATATGCCTCAGATAGCAAGATCTGCAGATACAGTTGAGAGAGACGATCTTTACAATTTCTTTTGTCTTTATACAACTTTTGCTATTTTCTCTAAATTACTCTTAACTAAATAATAAAGTTATTTAAAATAAAATGTATATATATATATATATATTTAAATTGTAAAATATAATTCTGAAAATTGGTCAATATGATTGGTTCAATTTTTTATTTTAAACTATTACTTTCAAAAAAAGTAAATTGGTAAAATAAATAATAAGTGTTATAATTATATCTAGATTATATATTGTTTTAATTTTTATTAGGTTTTTTGTATATATATTTATATATGTATATGTGTTCGTAACACATATTATGTATGTATGTGAAAGAATAATCAAACCAAAAAAGAAAAGCATAGCAAATGTAGAAAGAGAGAAGATAATTTTATATCGTTTGAAAGGGGCGATGTAAATGATTGAAGTACATGGTTTATATAGGGGAAAAATCAGACAAGAAATACTGTGGGAGTTAAATGATGGTAGACTCCACCTTGAAATATACACGCAAAATCTTGACTATTGTAACACTCCTCCTTGGATACCAGTATCATTAGTGTCTTCTGTACTGAATCTTCTGTTGCCTCGTTAAAAATTTTTTTTAGAAAATCCGGTGGGAAAAAACATAGCAAAGTAAAAAGAGTAAAGCATAGAAAACTCCCCCTCAAATAGCTGATCGTTACAGGTTTTGTTGATGACGCATTCCAATGTTGTAAACATGTTTTCTGAATGTTGTAGTGGGTAGTAACTTCGTAAAGAGGTCTGCAGCATTATCACAAGATCGAACATATCTTACTTAAATTTATTTATTCTTCTCGAGTTCTTGAGTATATGAGAAGAACTTCAGTGGAATATGCTTGGTTCGGTCACTTTTGATGTATCCTTCCTTTGTTTGAGCGACACATGCTGCATTATCTTTATATCAGATGGTAGGTTCTGAATTGATGTTGATCCCACTATTAAAAGGATGTGATGACTTATTGATCTGAGCCAGACACTTTCTTTACTTGCTTCGTGGAGAGCGATTATTTCAGCATGGTTTGAGGAAGTGGCTACAAGTGTTTGTTTCTGAGATCACCATGATATAGCAGTTCCTCCAATTGTAAATATGTACGCAGTCTGTGATCTAGCTTTATGTGGATCAGACAAATATCATGCATTAGCAAAGCCAACCATTTCTCCGTTTGAGTTGTTAGGATAAAATAATCTTAAATCAATTATTCCTTGAAGATAGCGAAAGAAATGTTTGATCCCATTCCAATATCTTTGCGTAGGAGATGCATTGAACCTTTCCAAAAGAGTAACTGCAAATGATATATCAGGCCGAGTGCAATTTGCAAGATACATGAATGCTCATGTTGCACTTAAATATGGTACTTCAGGGCCAAGTATCTCCTCATTTTCTTCATGTGGTCAAAAAGGATCATTTTCAACATTTAGTGATCTAACAACCATAGTAGTACTTAGTTGAGTTGCTTCGTCCATGTTGACTCGTTTCAACACTCTTTTCGTATATGTAGACTGGTGTACAAATATACCTTTATGTAAATGCTCAATTTGTAGACTAAGACAATATTTTGTCTGTCCGAGATCTTTCATCTCAAATTCTTCTTTTAAATAATCAGATGCCTTTTGTATCTCTTCTTTAGCCCCGATATTGTTTAGGTCATCGACATATACATCAATAATAACAAATCCAGACGACGTTTTTTGATGAAAACACATGGGCATAGAGGACTGTTTACATATCCTTCTTTAGTTAAATGTTCACTAAGACGATTATACCACATACGTCCAGATTGCTTTAAGCCGTATAATGATCTTTGCAATTGTATTGCACATAACTCTTTAGGTTTAGAACCTATTAGTTCTGGCATCTTAAATCCTTCGGGAATTCTCATATAAATATCAGTGTCCAATGATTCATATAAATATGCTGTAACAACATCCATTATACGCATTTCTAGATTTTGATTAGCAGTAAGACTCATCAAAAATCTAAATGTGATTGCATCCATAACAGGAGAATATGTTTCTTCATAATTGATCCCATGTCTTTGAGAAAATCCTTGAGCTACAAGAAGAGCCTTGTATCTCATTACTTCGTTTCATTTCATTTCCAAACGAAACCCCACTCTAAGAGAATCAAACTCAACTTGTATTGCATCTTTCCATTTCATCCAGTTGTGTCTCTTTTGACATTCTATGATAGATTTTGGTTCAGGGTCATCATTTTCTTCATATATTTCCTTTGAAAAAAAGTACGAGAAAATATCATTGACGCCATTCACATTATTTCAATTCCATATTTTTCTATTGTGAATGTAGTTAATAGAAATCTCATGATTTTCTTCAGAATCATGATGTTCAACACTGTTATCAACCTATTGGTTTATTTTTCCAGCCTTTCTGTTATATTAGATGGATTTTGTTTTTCCATGTCCTTTCGTTTTTTAGGATTTTTATCCTTAGAACCAACAGGTCTACCACGTTGTAAACGTATTTTTGACTCTCGTGTATTATCATCTGCTCCACGTTTATGTGGCATTTCTATATGAGCAGGAGCATTTGCAGCTGGTATATGTGATTTTGTTACCGTTTTGGTGTCTGCAAATGCATCAAATAGTTGATTTTCATTGCTTTGCAAATGCATAATTCGACAAAATTCTAATTTCGACTGTTTTGTAGGAGGATCAAGGTGTAGTAGAGATGGCACACACCATTTTATCTTTTTTTATACTTGATTATTTTCTCCCCCTAGAATTGAGAATACTTTTTCATCAAAGTAGCAATCTGCAAAACGTGAAGTAAATACATCACCAGTTTGTGGTTCTAGGTAGCGTATAATTGATGGAGAATCACAATTAACATATATCCCTAACCTCCTTTGAGGTCCCATCTTTCTACGTTGGGGAGGTGAAATTGGTACATATACAGCGCAACCAAAAACCATGAGATGAGAAATATTTGGTTTTCGTCCAAATGCTAATTGTATTGGTGAATATTTGTGATATGCACTTGGTCTCACCCGAATCAGTGCTTCTGCATGCAAAATATCATGTCCCCACACAGAGGTTGGGAGTTTAGACCTCATGATTAAAGGTCTTTTAATCAGTTGTAGACGTTTAATTAATGATTCAGCCAAACCATTTTATGTATGGACATGAGCAACAGGATGTTCCACATCAGTTCCAGTTACCATACAATAATCATTGAATGCTTGGGATGTAAACTCACTAGCAATATCTAGTCTGACTCTCTTATTAGATAGTCAGGAAACTGAGCTCTTAGTTTGATTATTTGAGATAAAAATCTCGCAAATGCCACATTTTGAGAGGACAGTAGACAAACGTGGGACCATCTACTCGACGCATCGATCATTACCATAAAATAATAGAATGATCCACAAGGTGGATGTGTAGGTCCACAAATATTGCCTTGAATTCGTCAAGGAACTTTGGTAACTCTTTATCTATTTTGGTTGGCGATGGTCTTATAATCAACTTTCCTAAAGAACACACAGTACATGTAATTTTACTCCCCTGATAAACTTCTTGAGGTTTCAGCTAATGACCATGTGAGTTCTCGATGATCTTTCGCATCATTGTGGTGCCTGGGTGACTAAGACGATCATGCCATAGTGTTTTTTTTCCCTTAGGAGATTTCTCAGAGCGGACCCATTGGAATGAATTTCTATCTTGTGGATTGTACTTTTGTCCACGTCCACGGTAGTTTTGACACCCACGACTACGTCCACGAAAAGCCTTATTTTCTTTCACTGGTTTCTTTGCATCTAATGCATTTACTTCGGGAAACGCTTTGGAACCAGTTGGACGTGTCATGTGATTCTTGATCAGAAGCTCGTTTTTTTTTCTGCTATGAGAAGCGCCACAATCAAATCCGAAAATTTGGTATATCCCCGCAACCTATATTGTTGTTGCAGGGTGATGTGGCTCTTATGGAATGTGGTGTATGTCTTCTCAAGCATTTGAAACTCCGTGATTGTTTCTCCACAGTATCTCAATTTAGCTACAATTCCTAACACAACAGAATTTTAATTCATCACTTTGTCGAAATCTTGGAACCTCGGATTCTGCCATTCATCTCGAGCAAGTGGAAGTGTTATGTCTTTCTGATGATTGAAACGATCTTTCCTAGACTTCCATAGCTCTTTAGGATCTCTCATGTTGGCATAGTCATAAATAATACTTTCATCAAGGTGTTTTCTAAGGAAGATCACTGATTTAGCTTTTTCTTGAGGCGTTGAAGTATTATTCTCTTCAACGGTTTCAGATGAACCAAGAGATTCAAGGTGGAGTTCGACATTGGTAACCCAAGAAATGTAGTTGGTCCCAGTGATATCCAGAGCGGGAAATTAGAACTTATCCATGTTTGCCATTGATTTTCTAAGGCACAAAATAATAAATTTTATTAAGAAATTTATTAATTTTAAATGGAACCGATTACATTGATAGTACAAGCAATTACAAGTAAAACTAATGCTAATAAACATAAGGCGGTGTTAATTCCAAAATATTCATGAGTAGCTCCTTCAACAAGAATAAAATACATAGATGAAAAAATAAAAATGGCACACAAAATTAAAAGCAAGTGAATCATTATTTTATTTTATTTTTTATTTTTTTATTGGTTTCTTATGTAACGAATATTCGAAGAGAACGATTTGTAAATATTTACGAGAAGAAGATTTTTTTTTGGATGAGAGAATGAAGTGAAAATGAGTTGTATTTATAGATGAAAAACAATGTTCATTAGTCGTTAACTAGCCGTTTAAAAAGTAAAAACGTTTTAAGTATTATTTAAATTTATTTACGACCGTTGGAAGTAAGAACAGAAAATAAAATTAATCAGAAATTATGAGTAATCAATTATTGAATTTATCAGTTTAAACATGTATATAAATATAGGTGAACTCTTAAATATATTTAGTTA